AGCACTAGTATGTCCTACCATCAAACTTCTCTTGTCTGTCACCTTTTAAATATTTTAATCTGAGATTCTTTAAAAGCTGTCTCCACTGCTCTTACTCCCTAGATGTAAACAGATTTGTTGAATATTTTTTTCTAACCCACCCACGAAGTTACATTCATTTACATAACTTAATGAAGGCTGCATTATTCATTGAACTTCTCATATAACATTTTTCATAAGACATTATTAAACAAGTGAAGCAAGGCAGTCTAGTAATGAACCTTCTCTAAACTTGCTGCCAGTTATGTTTCCTTTCTCCTAATCTATCACTCTAATGGTTGCAACTAATAAACTTTTCGAATCTTTGCTTCTAATCTGTATATGTTTTGCATTGCATGCTGGATGGAGAACTTGACAGAGAATTTACAATACAAACCACCTGGCAAACAAAACTATCTGGATTAACAAATGCTATCCAAACCTACCCCACTCTTTTTTGTGATAATAGAGAAGACAACTACATGCACCATACTACCTTTGAGCCATAAATTAAGTAACTGATTTGGGGCTGGGAACGTACCCTACTGAGCAGTATGTCCCAAACACAAGATTTGTGACTGCCTTTTATAATTTCAGAAACATCACCAGAAGTCAATAGATTGAAGTTTGGTTTACATGAGTGTTCACAGCAGAGACACAGCCTTGTATAGGATCCTGTTAGACTGTTCTAGGAAAGATGGTATGTAATAATTTTAAAGTAAAGAAATCCTGCAATGGGTTTCTTGCACTTGAGCTACTTAATCTGTATTTGGGACTAAGTCAAAAGTAGTTAGATTTTCAGGGAGCCTAACCAGTGCAACTCCCTTTGAGACAGCAAATTCTGAGAATTTATACCTCTTAAAAATAAATTCTAATGCAAAAAAAAAAAAAAAAAAAAAAGGAAAGAGAGATGGATCTTGGGGTCTGATTTTGTGCATATTCATTTGAAATGGCTGGGGCATATTCTTTTATCAGCATCCACCCTGAACACCTCTGCCAATGTGTAGTATTAACAAACCACAGCAGTGTTCTGTACTCAGAGATGCCTAGCTGCAGATTTGTAAAAACAGATTTTAAAACTTCCTATAGCACTTAGGAGAGTACCACTTGAAAGTCAGGGATGGAATATTTTACATATTATTAAGTATTTTTCTTGGTGCCTCTCCAAAGGCTATTCTAAATCACTGATGAGAATAAAATAAGAAAACATATGATAGATTGAAATGGGGCAGAAAGAAGGGCAACTTTTTTGTCAGTCTCTCATCTTGCAAGGTCCAGGAAAAGACTTCTGCAGTAAAGGCACAAAGTAAAATAAAATATCAGAAAAGTAAGTGCAAAACTTTAAGTATACAAGGCTTCAAAGGATACTGTGCCTTCAAGAGATGCTTTTATGAACCAAAAGAAAAAAAAACCTTTCCCAGCTCAGCTGCTGAAAGTAACATGAAAGTAGCATATCCTAGTTTCACTAGGACAAAATAAATAAAACTGGTCAAGTTATCTTTAATCAAGCAGTATTTTTTTTCCAATGAGTCTTCAGCATTCATTTGCATTAAACCATTACTAAAATCCACTATTACCTGTTCTAACCATATCAGAAAATACTATTGCCTTTCAATCAGGGACTGATTTATTGAGTAGCATTCCTCAACATCAGTTTACACCAATGTCATTCTTTGATGTCATTTGTATTCAGGAACAGATATAACTGCGTGTTGTAAAGAACCACACATTTAACATCACATAGAGACTTCAGAAATTCCAAGCACCAGAAAAGCTGCTGGCTGGCAGGAGCTATTGCTCACGTGGGTTTAGGGGAAGCATGGATTCCAGCAACCCACCTTACCCTCACAGAAGAGCTACATAAATGCTACATATAAATCATGGCTTTTTACTCCAGGACCAAAGCATAGCACCTACTGGACCATGTGCCAAGACATAGCCAAAAGTTTTTTTTTTTAAATGACGGGTTAACTGAGAGATGCAATATGAAATACCCTAAAAAGGCCCAATTACAATACAGAAGCGAGCACTCCCCACCAAATCTGCCCCTCTAACATGTTTCAGTCTGTGATCCTTGGAGCACCAGTCACCTACAGTAACACACAGTGACACCCGCAAACAGAAAACTAGAGCACAGCTCTAGGAACTACCTGCTAGCCACCAAGTTGGCTATGATGGCCGCTTTGTCTTCCTGCCCCCTCCATCACCGCTGCAGCACCCCAGCACAAACAGCATTCACATAGGGAGCTGGGACGAGGACCTGGTGCACCTGAAAAACAGTGGGAGTTTTGGTAGGTAATTTTTCACCAAGATCAGTTCCTGGATCCAGCATAATAAAGGGAGAAGGGGCTAGGGGGGCAGGAGCCAGTCAGCCCCTAAATAGCAGCCACAGGCTTAGCAGATGTCCACACCAGCCACTGCTGGGCAGGCAAAGCTACATATGAGAGCTCCCAGAGCTCACCTGAAACTGGTCTGAAGCCAGCATCTAAGCTGTCAAGATACAGCTGTGTAGAGGAGATTAGCAGGGGTTGTAAAACCTGCTCAAGAAGTTGGGCAAATATTTTAGCAATTAACCCACACTGAGCTCCATATTACTGCAGCTATGCTGCTACCATTTCTTGGGATAGCTTGTTTAAAGCTAACTCCAAGATGCCTAAATTACACATCAGTGACAGACCATTTAACTACCAAGATAAATTATATCAGGGCAGTGCCTAACATAGGTTATGTTGTCATGATTTACAACAGCTGAGGATGTGCCCCCAGATGTCCAGACAAAATCAAATTAAGTATATGATTTTTTTTCTCCAAACATAAAAGCCTCACAACCTTGACTCAAAAATAGAAAAGGAAACAGAGAAACGCATGTATGACCTTAGACTTACACTGTGAAAGATTGTTCGTATTCTCCATATCCTCCATATTCTCCAGGCAGCACTTAGATTCCCATTCTTTATTAAAAAAAACTTAAACTAAAATAATATGGACACCATGCAAAAAAGTTCCCACATATAGAAGACTTCATTTAAAAATAAACAAAACATTTAAAGAATATCAACCTCTATTTGGGTTTGCAGAACGTTGTAATGTTAAGGAAGAAAATACTAATGAGGGGTACCAAGACAAGAGCCTTGCTGTTCTCCAGGCTTCAGATCACCTCCAAATCAGGATCAGGGTTTGCAATTTTCCGCTACTATAATGGTAATAAAGAGGTCTTAAATGGAGATTATGCATCAAATCCCTGAAAAGCATAATGGTACAAGAGGTTTGCATATTAAAAATTACTTAGGATTTTAAACATTGCCAAGAAGACCCAGGCACAACCTAAAAAGAATATATTTTAAGACTACAACAAAATTAATATGAAAAAGTCTTGATAGTTATGCTCATACGGAGGTTGTATCTAAGGTCTTACATTAGAAAATTATGTATTTAAAATGCTAGCTGGAAACACATCAAATGTATCATAAAAACACTCCTTAAAAAAACCCAAAAAACAAACCTCTGAGATGCTGTTAAACACCTGCAGCGATTTTGAGCAACTTAACTCCATCCTTAATTTTGACCTTGGGAGAACATCATGAAAAAGTGACTGTTTTCCAGGAGCAAACAAAAAAATAAATTAGTCTGTATGGTGCTATAAGTGTTCGTGACACTGAATTACATTGGTTTACTTGTAGATGTTTATAGAGCCAGCCTATGTTGTTTGACTTTTGAGGGAAGAGTAATAGGTGTAGTGAGGGGGTGGCAGAGGGGAGAGCACAAAAAACCTTACGGTTAAGCCAAAACAGGGGTCACGCCTAGGGCATTTTATCTGCCCTGCTTACACACCCCTGGGGAATTGCATCTCAACAGTTGATTCCCTGTTAATCAATTCACATTAGTGCCTGCCTTTTAGTTTTCACTTTGCTGAATTCCAGGGAAGAAGTTCTTAAACCAAATGCATGCTCTATCTCTGACCTAGCCAGAGCTGTCGCATTTCAAGAAGAAATCACAGCAGATTTTATTTGCTCTGCCAGCTGATAAGAGACACCTTCCTAAGAAAAGATTCAGAGCCAGCAGACTCCATACAGAACAAGTTCCAGTGGTCTGTTCACACAGGTCAGCAGTAATATGGGAGGAGAGGACCTTTATGGATTTTTTTTTTTCCCCTCAATCTATTTTCTCCAGCTACAGAGAAAGACTCACGTTACCCATTCTTCTTCTGCTTCCCTTTACTTTCTTATTTACTATGGCTCAAGCTTATGCACTCGATAAGGAGACCTGTAGCACTTGCTGTCGCTCCATACTGTTTTCAGTGAGCGCGTATGCTTTTGCACCGCTCTTGCCCCTTACAGGCTAAATCTTAAAACAATTTACTATTCACAAGTGAGAACCACATTGGGGGTGGGAGGCAGGGGAGAGTTATGAGCACAAAAATAGCAAGCAGCTCATTCACAACAGCAGATCTGACTTTACATCCAAACCCTTTAGACCCCTTGGTTAGGCTACTCTCTAGCATACACGCAGATCTTAGTACAGAGGATCATCAAAAATAAACTTTATTATCAAACTTAAAATTCACACATTAAACACAAGATCTAGACACAAATAATACTGAAAACATTCTCAAACAATAACCATTTTAGGTAATTTGGATGAGTAGCTAGTTACCATTGTTTCAAATGCTTTTAAGAATATTTCTGAATACATACACCATCATGAAATGTCTTCAAACACTTAGCTGGCCAGCTTTTGGTAAGGGTTTTAAATAGGGGAAAGCTTATTTCTATAGAAATAACATAATCTAATTATGAATCAGAGACCCATAATTGTAGTGCTTGGGGACAAAAATATCACAGCCTTTTGAAATATTTAGAGGACATAAATAACTATTGTACATTTACAAGTTTAAATATTTAAAGGCCTTTGTTACTATAAAAAGTTGCTATGTACATATGAGATGCTATATAGAAATCCAGCCGGAGGCAAGCATCGAGCGCTCAGATTTGGCCGCTGAAACCTATGAATTTGGTAGGCAGATTGTCCACAGGGTACACTATGGGGCCCGTTTTCATTGTAGGAGGTCCATTCAGCAGCTGCCAGTCACAGCTCCGAGCCAACTCCACTGTAAATATTTTTAGAAGGACTTTTGCAAACTCTTTGCCCACGCAGCTCCTCAAGCCCCCACCGAAAGGAATGAAACTGAACCGAGAAGAATCCTCTGGAGATGGAGACATGAAGCGATCCGGGTTAAATTCATCCTTGTTGGTAAAGAGATCTGCCACATCGTGGGTATCACAGATACTGTAAATAACATTCCAACCTTTAGGGATCTGGTAACCCTATCAAAAGAAGAGAAAGGAGACATGAAGCGCCTTGCCGTGTTGAATAAGGTGAAGTGCCAGCACAGGACACGTCGGTGCACCCCACCTCCCCTCCTGGCTTCCTGCAGGCGACTCTAAGGCGGAGAGGCTACGGGAGCACACTAGTACTTTGCAGCAGTGTGGAGGAGTCAAGCCCAAGCCCCGCTTACGTTTAGCTCCAGGGTCTTGAGTGCAATTCGAAATCCCCCAGGAACAGGAGGGCTCAGCCTGAGGGTCTCCTTGATGACACAGCCCGTGTACTTCAGCTGCTCCAAGACCTCCATGTCCAGCTGTTTCTCTTGGTTGGGACTGCACAGTAACCCCTAGAAAGGAAGATGCTGCCATGACTTTTACAGAGCAGGTGGCCAGGGCTCCTGGCACTGTGAAGCAGCTGCCCCTCAGCAAGTAGGGGTTTCCTGCAACGCCCTAAAAGAGGGGCACCATCTGGGTCAAGGGGAGCCCTGCCTGGGACACCTCTCCTGGAGGTACCTTCCCACTGCCTACTCCTGTGAAATGGCTCCGGGGGGGACACACACCTTCACCTGCAGCTCTTTCCTCACTTTCTGCAGGACATCGTGGTGGAGCCCTAGGAAGGCGATCAGCGATGTGGCAGCGCTAGCAGTAGTTTCATGGCCCCCAAACAGCAGCTCTGTGGCAGACTCCTTCAGCTCCTTACGCACAGGACAGAGGAACACAAAACAGGTCTTGAATATAGTATCTCCACCTGGCCCACTCCACCACCACATCACTGGGCATCACTCCCAGGCTGGAGCAGATACCCAGGGCCAGGATGGGGGTGCTGCTTATGCCCCTAGATACATGGCCCTGGTCCCGTGCTCCCCATCCAACATCCTGGTTGAAGCCTCTGCACTCCAGCATACTATACAAGCTGGTTTATTGCATGGGGAGAGGGGGCTGAGCCTCCCTCTCCCTCCTTTTGGCCCCAAAAGATAAGCATGATGCTGACCGAGGGGCTGGGGGAAAAGGGACGGATCTGGCCCAGGGGAGCCTCACCTGCATGTTGAGCTGCTCGCCATTGCCCTGTGTGTGTTCCATCAGCAGCTGCAGTGCATCCTTATAGCCACCCTCCGGCTCCTTGCGGGCCATCTTGGCACGGATGTTCTCCTCGATCTTGGCATGGATGATGTTGCGTGCCCGCAAGCCCTGGCCAAGCGGCAGGGACGGCAACGTGGGACTTAGGCCCATGCTGCCATCCCTCCCGGCCATTCCCCACTGCCCTGGCTTGGAGGGGCGCCCCTCTCCTCCCAGCCTGCCAGGAGCCTTACCCGGTAGAGCCCGCTGAAGGGCACATCAATGGGGAGGGAGAAGAGGTTGCGGATCATCTCCTCGAAGGCCTCCCCCAGCTGCTGCTCGCCATCGGGGCTGGCCTGGCAGGGCTGAAAACCCAGCAGGATCCTCATGGCGATGCGAAACATGAGGCGCTTCACCTCGGGGTACACCAGCAGGCAGGGCCCATCGGCCCCCAGCCACTGGGCCAGGCAGGCGCTCACCTCCTCCTGGATGACGGGCACGTAGTGCTGCAGGGCGTCCCGGGAGAAGGCCCGCATGATCACCTGCCCGGGGGGACGAGGAGGAGGAGGAGGAAGGGGACACAGGCTCAGCCGCCGCGCCCGGGGCGGCCGCGC